ATTCTGACAGGGGTATGTGCCTGAAAAATATTTTCATTGGTTGTATTAGTGATGCCCTTCACTGTCTGGAGCTCAAATGAGGTGAGCACTACAGACAAAGTCAGGAAAGCTGCAGGGAGATGTGGCAGGAAGGGTGAGCAGTGTGATGGTGGACACATTTTCTGACTCAGATAATGCCTTAATCCTACCTAAGCCCCTTTTAATCCCCCAGGATACAAGCACCTGTCAATTTAGGGGCCAGTAGCTGTCCTGTCCAAGAAGGATAGTTGACATCACCTCCATTGTGACCCCATCGAGACAGGTGTGAATCCTTGGCTTTGAGAAAGTTGGAGTGGAGAATGGGGGTCTGGGTGACTGATGCCATCTCTGTTTGTTCCCCTTGAGATATAATTCACATATAGAGTTCAGTCTTTTGAAGTATACAGTTCAGAGGTTTTTAGTATACATGTTCTCAGAGTTTCACAACCCTTACCACTATCTAATTCCAGAATATTTTCTGCACCTCAAAAAGAAACCTCATGCCCACTAGCAGTCACTCCCATTCCTTACTCCTTCCAGCCCCTGCCAACCATTTCTGTCTCTAAGGATTTGCCTAATTTGTTGATTATAGACATTTCATATAAATGGAATCATGCAACATGTGACCCTTTGTGTCTGGCTTGTTTCACTCACCATAACGTTTTTGAAATTCTTCCATGTTGTAGCAGGATTTTGTTCCTTTAATGACTAAATAATATTCCACTGTATGTGCATGCCACAATTTGTTTATCCGTTTATCAGCTGATGGACCTTTGTGTTGTTTTCACTTTTTGGCTATCTTGAATAATGCTGCTATTAACATTTGTGAACAGTTTTCTTTTTTTTTTAATTGGGGTATTGGGGGGATGGGAACAGTGCTGGGGAATTGGGGGAAGGGGAACAGACAAGTTGCTGTCGTTTTGTTCTTCAGTCTAGTTGTGGAGGACGTTGCTTCACTGGCCCAAGTTGGCACCATCATTGCGCTCTTCCTGGGCGAGGCAGATCAGTTGCCGGCTTCTGGACGGCCGCTCACTGCGGCCGCTGGCCGCTCCCGCTGGCTGCTGGCTACATACGGTAGCCCATGGGAACCCACTGCCACAGGGGCTGCAGCCTACGCCGCCGCCGGCGACTCACGGCAGCCCAGCTCCAGATCGAGCTGTTGTTCAACATCTTAGCTGTAGAGGGCAGTGTCACTGGCCCTCATATGTGGGATCCGAACCGGGGCCCTCTGGCATCCCAAGCCAGTTCTTAACCATCGCACCACTCGGCCAGCCCGGGTTTTCTATTTTTTTTAAAGTGCATGTTATTGAGAGCTCATTTTAGTTGAACAATGTTGATAGGTAGGCTAGTCAAGATCCATTTATGTTAGACCTTACATTTGTCTGGCTAGTCCAGAAGCCATTGAGGATTGGAAGTAAGAAATAAAAGAATTTCTGTTTACTTCATTATGTGTCAGGATGTGAAGAATAAAACATTTATTTGCCTGTCCCATGTACATATTTTAAATCACCTTTACAGATTTAGTTCAAAGACATTACCAGCTGATTATTCATTGTCACTGCTGTACCACAATTGCATTTCAGAAATGTTTCCTCATATATAGGGTTGTTTATGGTTTGACTTCAACCAAATCACGAGCCCAATGTTTCCCAAACTGAGTGGTGCGGTGTCGTTGGGTACTGAAAGAAAATCACAGGGCGCTGCAGGAATATTTTAAAATTCAAGTTCACAGTACTCAAAACTAGGTACCGCTAGTTAAAGATAGGTTACAGTTTCAGCATTAGATAGTGATACATTCTGTTACAGTAATGTCTTTGTAAAGCTGGAATTTTGGCAGTATCTCAGATACAAAGCAAGTACTACATGAAAATCAATGTAGAACAGGTAGTGGAGGTGATCATCCTATTTAAAGCTTTGAGAAGTTGTGTAGTATCCAGCTGATGCATCCCCAAAAGAAGTAATTTTGGTTATTTAAGAATAAAATAGAAATAGATATATTTTTTCTTTGTTGTGACCTAAATGTTATTTGAACCTAACTACTTAATAAATAGAACTTTAGGTAATTATTTTGGCCTCAGGGATGCCATGAAAAAAATTACTGAGATACAAAGTTTGCAATAAACAAAGAAGTTTGGGAACCTTTGTTCTAGTCTTTTTCCCCTTAATTTATAATCTTTGCTACACCGAACTCTCATTATCTCTAAAACTTGTCCCACCATTTCATGGGGCCATGTCCTTGTATGCGTCACTTTATTTTGGAGTTTCCCCTTTCTTTCCATTCTTCTCTCTGAAAGACTTTTGTTATTTTTCAAGTCTCTGCTCAAATACGCCTTCCTCTGAGAAGCCTTCTTGGACCTCTCTGGGTGTAATTGGCTGCTGAATCTTCACAATATTGCTACCACAATATCCAGTTCCTTCTTGCACTCTAATGCCCACTGTGGGGCAACGTGCTGTTATCTGTCTAGATCACTCTACTTCCTCTGCCTTTCTGAGTTTCACAGCCACAGAAACCACATCTTGGCACCTCTGTGTCCCCAGTACAGTGCCCAGCACATTGTGAGTGACTGGTTAACTGCATGAATGGGCTGAATAATAATATGAAATATCTATCAAGCTACCTACCACCTCCCCATTAAGATTCACATTTTTCATTGGAAGCAATTTGCAGAGAAGCCATTTGAATACTAATTGTGGCCATTTCAATTTCCTGACTACAACCTCAAAGCACATGTGAAACACAAAAGTTGAGCCAATCTAAGATCTCCAGTTTAAATGATACAGTTCACTTCAAGTTCAGCCTGAATTGGGCTTAAATGAAATAAAATTGATAGCAGATGAAAGCTCAACAGGTTCCAGGATAATTACATACTTGTTATGATATTCTCACTAATTGGAGCGCTAGCTGGATGAACCTCAGCTTCTGGAACTGCTGCTGGGGTAACTGGCAGACACATCTGTTTGGGATGAATCTGCATATTTGCTCATTTGCCAAAAATGTAAAGTAGAGCTCTGGATTAGTTTCAGTTCACTTAATCACTTCCAAGCTGAAGAAGCAGCTGAATATATTATAATGCTTCCCCCTCCCTTTAACATGCCAAATTTCATCCACAAGTGAACATTCAAACAAGGCAACTTAAAAGCAGACTGTCTAGAATAGTGACACACAGAGATACATACATTCTTCAGATTAATGTATATTACTCTCATTTATCTAAAAAGGAGCCAAGTCCTCACACCAGAGAGGAGACTGATAAAAGAAAACCCTTTAGAAGCGCTTATTTTCAAGAGTGGGGTGAAACTTGCATTTTCCTAAAGAAAGACCCTTTTAAACTTATATTTCATTCCCTTTGGCAATGTGTGCATTAAAAGATAAGTATTTGCTTCAGGGTTTCAAAAGTTGTGCTTCTAACAGAATTAAAGTTTAACCTTCATTAGTCCCGGTGGTGTTCTTTCTAAAATAACTTCTGTCACAGTACTTTAATGCCATGTTCATGTTACATTATCATGGTTCTTAAATTGTAGTAATCCTCCTGTCCCTTAGATTCAGTATAAAGCAATTTCATATTATATTGTACTTGGCAGACTCAGGTTATCTTCAAATGTTCTACAAAAATAAAACTATCAGTCTACAGAGCAGTAACCATCCTATGGAGATAAAATGTGTTATAAAGAAAGGGCTTCTCTTCCATTTCAAAACACCAGTTGGAACAATGTCTCCAATTACTCCTCTTGGTTAATATTTATGTAACTTTTATTTCAGAGCATCAGAAGCAGCCAGTGGCTGAGTTAACTTTGGGGTAGAAATTCATTTGTAGGAACTGTCCTTACCTGCAAGGTCAGCTCCACTGTGCTTGGCAGGGGTCCCTCCCCAGGCCCCTGCCTATTTCATTGAATTGGGCCATGTATCAAGGATCAACTGTATCCCTACTATGTGCCAGATGCGTTTTCTAAGGACTGTGTGTTTAGCTGTAAAGAAGAAAGACTATGTATATATATATATATATATATATATATATATATATATTTTTTTTTTTTTAAGATTTTTAAATTGGGGAATTAGGGGAGGGGAATAGTGTTGGGGAATTGTGGGGAGGGGAACAGTCAAATTGTTGTCCCTTTGTTCTTCAGTCTAGTTGTGGAGGACACTGCTTCACTGGCCCAAGTTGGTATTATGATCATTGGCTCTTCCCGGCTGAGGCAGTTGGTCGCCGGCTATTGGACGGCCAGTCACGATGGCTCACGATGGCTGCCAGCCACTCATGACAGCCCAGCTCCAGGTCAAGCTGTTGTTCACAATCTTAGCTGTAGAGGACACAGCTTACTGACACATGTGGGAATCGAACCGGCAGCTCTCTTGTTCAGAGCCCATGCTCTTACCAACTGAGCCACTCATCCAGCTCCGTAGACAGACAATACTTTTGACTCTAACAGTTTATAATCTAATGGGAGACACAGCAAAAGTAACTTAAACTATAAAAATCAACATCATTATTAAATGATGATACAGTTGAAACAAGGTGATGGGAAAGGATTAATTTCTGAATATAGGGGGAATGCTGATGGTCAAGGAAGGCTTTTCGAGGAGGTACAATTTAAGATGAAGGCATGGATGAGAAGGAGACCCAAGGGATGAACACCACAGGTAGAGGGAACAGTAAGTGCAAGGACCTTGAGGACTGAATAATGCTAATCTCTATCCCTCTACTTCTCACCTCTACCCTGTCTCAAACCAATGCTCTCAATACTTTGTTTCCATTCATCTTTCATATGTAATTTGAGGCAGGATAGACAGGCTAGGGAATTGACAACCCCTCCAGGGTACAAAGTGAGGTGCCTCACTGGTTACACAAGTAGCAAGTGACTGTATCCAGTACCTGTAGCTGGAGAAAAACAAGAACCAGCTTCATCCAGCTAAGCTGATCCCTATGACTGGGACCTAATCTTTATCTACTTTTAATGTCATTATTTCATTTTCATTGCAGTTACTACAACGTCTATCATGCATCTGATGCCATGACAGTTCCGAAGAACCAAATAAGGAAGAAAAAGCGGGAAATGAAGGGTCCCATGAACCATGTTAATGGAATGTCACCAATTTCCTCCCTGGGAAGGATAAAACCCCCTGATCATCGTGACATCCTCAGCGCATAGTTCCCTGAATGCAACCACACTTTCCTCTCAAATGTGTACTTTCATTTTCAATAAATCGCTTTCGCTTTCCTGCATCTTTCTCCTCTTGAATTCTTGTGCAGAGACAAAACCCAGGTCACCACTGCTGCGGGCTGAGTCCTCTCTTGGACATCCTCGAGAGCCTCTGGCGATGTCTCAACCAAATGGCGATGCTCATTTATCTATCTACAGAATGCCAAAGATTCCATCTGGTAGAAACGCTCAATAAGCCAAAAGGGTCAAAGCCCGAAGAGCCAGTCATATGAATACCCAGAAAGCAGAGGTCTTAACAAATAATGTGAACTATTATTTGGATCTATGAAAACTAAAAATATAGAGTTCTTTTAGAAGATAGCTTCATGGGGTTAGGGTCTGTGTTCTATCAGTGAATCATGTAAAGCTTACAGGCCTCAAAGATATGCCTGGTTCTAACATTCTATGAGGTCTACTTAAATAACCATAAGTTTTCTACAAAGGTGAACAGTTGCTACTTTGCCTGCCTTATTCCCTGCAGGGAGGTCTCTGAAATGTTGCTAGCTTCTTGGGTTCATTTTAGGTTACAGGGGGTCTGAACAGAAGCAGAACACTATGGCTGTGTTCTTAACCTGTGGCCTGCAAGGCATCCCCATAGCTGTGGCGACCCACAGGCATCTCACAGTGGTTATGGTCTTCATCCTTCGCACTCCAAAAGGATATTTTCATTGAGAAGAGGTAAAGTGAGCACCAAGATGACAATGCATGTAGACAGCCTGTCACCATCTACCTGGGGTAAGAAACAGAAGAGCACAAAGATGAAATGATTTTGCCTGGTGGGAATGGGCTGAGGTAAGAGCTAGTGATACTTTCCCATAAGCCTGATGAATTTCCATTGTTGTTTAAGAGCCAATCCAAATAATTTTCTATGAAATTTTGCCTCACGATGCCTTATTCCCAGCCCTGAGGTCATGGTTAGTTTGCACAGCCTCTGTGCACCCACAGATCTTTGTACTTGCTCATCCCAGTGAACTGAAGTGTATCTGACTGTAAACCTAGATCCTCATTTGGGCTGTGAGCCTCTCTGTGTTTTGCTCATTTATCTATCTACAGAATGCCAGCTCAAAAGATCTTTGTTGTAAATGAATAAATAAATGCGTGATATGAAATAAATACAGCTCTACCAATGCAATATTGGAAATGTTGACTGCAAATCAATGATCATAGCAGAGCTCAATGCACCATGACACCTAGATGAGGAGACAGGTGCCTTCCTCAGCAGAAGCCCTGTCCACAATGAAATAAGGACCATTATCTATTTAGGACTGTTAATCTTTCATACATGTAGACATTTTACCTTCCTTTGCTTTGGAAAATAATGGGCAGAAAATGAAGAGACTGAGATGTTTTGATGAAATGACTCATTATTTTCTGGATTAACCTGCATACTCTTTGTTGCTATAAAGCCTGTCCAAAATGTGTGTTTTGGCATCTCCATCTTAGTAATTTAGTAAGTGCAATATTCTGAACAAATTGTAATCTTTCTTTGAAAGGTGAAGCTATTATAATGCCTCAGGCCATCATAACATCCAGACCCCTGCCCTGTTTTCTTCTGGAAAATGCATAGGAAATACAACCAAGTCTGCATTGAAACCAAGGCATGACCAGCGCAGTATTTAAAAAAAAATAAATCTTAAAATAATCTGATTTTTCTATGATCCATGCTTTCCCCCCAAAGCCACAAGCTATAAAAAAATTCAGATATGTTTATGTTTCTGGTTAATCAAGGTTTACTGTCTGCTTTAAACTTAGTGTCGAGTGACATTTAGCAATCATTCTTTGTTTGGAGCATTCCAGCAGCAGAGAAGTCAAATTCATCACCAAGTGACAGTTGTATTCACATTCCAAAAGAGAGAAAATTCATAAGCCTCTCATCTTTATTTATTTTTCTCCGCCCCTGCCCCCAATCAGGGAATCACCTAGCCTGATACTATAAATAGAGAGAACATGACCTTCCATGATACTATTTCTTCAGTTAGTGTGCTTAGTAAAAAAGTCTCTGGAAAAATGGATATGGAGAGAGCAGAATGCATAATCCCTGCCTTCCTAAAATATGTCATAGTGATAAGTGGTTGATGAATGCTAATGAGACTGCTTCTTCAATGAAGCCCTGGGTTCTGTGTGTGTGTGTGTGTGTGTGTGTGTGTGTGTGTGTGTGTGTGTGTATTTTGCAGCTGCTGTCTAGACTATGTTCTCTATTACTAAACCATCAGAATGATCACAAATAATCAAAGAAAAAAATTGAAATGACACCAGATGCATTACTTTATCCATCTACAATATTAGCAAAGTGGCTTAACAAAACACTCCATTTTGCCTTAATGTATCAGTGGCAATAGCTGTGAAGAGTTTCTGAAATCTCACTCCAGTCACAGTTGTGAACATGTTTTTGAGTTTAATTATAACAAAATAATTCTTTGGACTACAGAGTATGTAGTGGAAGTGGGCTTCATTTGATAATCAATCTTTTTGACATCCATATCTGAAGGCAAAAGGACCTTGATCAAATACTCACTGCTTGGGTAGTTTGCTCAGGTTGTTAGCCCTCCTAAACTTTGCAAACCTGTTGCTGGGACAATAAAGCTGGGGGAGAAAGTTAGAATCTGAGCCTGACCACCAAATTTTACTTCCCATTGGCCTAGTAATAGTGGACAAAACAACCAAAAAGTCCCACTTCCTCATTTAATGGATGTGGACAACAGTATAGTCCTCACAGGATTGTTGTGAAGAATTAGATGGAGACATTTCAACTAAGATGATTGGAATATATAGTAGGCTCTCCTTGGGTATAAAGGCTCTTTACTCTCTCCTCATAAGCCTGAAGAACTTCTATTCCCCATATAAGAGTAAGATCACATGATTCAAGTCAAATTGCTCAGCTCAATAAATAAATATTGAGTAATAAAAAATGATGTGAAAGTATTCTGTCAATATACTGTTATTATTAATGATAGAATCTACCAATCAAGAGACTTGTTCTCTCACTATAAACATCTATTAAAACTGGACACAATAAATTATCCAAGTCTTTTCAGGTATTGAACAATAGGCAGCATTGGTGTCCAACATCTAAAAATTTGTTTCATATATTTTGTTTGTTTTTTTTCGTTGTTTCAGATGGGATAATAAATTCAAAGCACGTTACTACATTGTGGCTAGATGTTGAAGATTTGCCAGTGGTCTGTGATGAGTTAAAGATGCACCTATTTAAAAAAATAATAAGAAGCATAGCTAAGAAACCAATACAAGAAATAAAATAGAATACTAAAAATTATTTAATTAACCCAAATAAAAGCAGGAAAAGAGGAATAGGAGTGAAAAAAATCATATTAAACAATAGAAAACAAATACAAATATGGTAGATTAAAATCCAACCATAGCAATAATTACATTACATGTAAATGGACCAGACAATCTACGTGAAGACAGACGGGATGAAAGTCAAGACTATGGCGGACATGGAGCTTCTCCGCCAGACTCACTTCAAGGAAGAAGACGTTGTTGCCTAGGCTGTCAGAAGCAGGCCTTCATTTGTGAGTTCCTTCAAGGTTCACCACAGTTGCTGAGAACTACCTCATACAAGTGTGGCCTTCCCAGTATGGTCCACGTCCAGTTACTGATTAAGGAAGGGGCATAAAGACCCAGACATACCAGCCCAATGTGAGACAACTCTGACTTCCTATGCGGTGGGCTGAGTCACAGTCACGACTTCAGTGCAGCTGACGTTCCCCTCTGCCTTACCCTGCTTACCCCCCTTCTTTTCTACTGTTGCTGATTCCAATAAATACTCTGCATAGCAAACTCCAGCTCAGCATCTATTTTTGGAAAATCCAACCTATGGCAAAAACCCAATTATATGCTGTCTGTAAAAGGTGAACTTTAAATTAAAGACAGATAAATTAAATAAAAGGATAAAAAAGGATATACCACACAAAGAGTAAATTTAAGAAAACTGATGTGGCTATAGTCATATCAGACAAGATAAAATCCAAGACAAGGAGTATTTCCCAGGGTAAAGAGAGATGTTTTAAATGATAAAAGGGTTAATTCAATAGGAAATCACAAAAATCTCAAATGTATAATAATAGTTTCAGGATATATGAAGAAAACTGACAGCAATAAAAGAAGAAATAGACATATCCATAATCATAATTGGAGAGTTTAATACCACTTCTAGAAGTAGAAAAAAGTCAGTAGGAAATTAAAATATCTGAAAACAATATCAATCAACTTGACTCAATTTTCATTTACAGAATATATAAGCAAAATGACAAAATGATATTTTTTTCAAGTGAACACGGTGTATTCACCAAGATATCATATACTATTTAGAATATGAAACAAATTTAAAAGACTGAAATATTGCAGAGTACATTTTATGACTACAGCCAAATTAAATTAGAAGGCAACAGTAATAAGATATCTAGAAAAGCACCTACATATTGGATATTAAATATTTAGTTATTTCTAAGTGACTTTCAGGGAAATTAGAAAATATTTTTAGTTAAATGATAATGAAAACATACATCACAAAATTTATGTGATGTATGTAAACCAATAATTAGTGTGAAATTTATAGCTTTAAAGGCCTATATAAGAAAAATCTGAAAACAAATAAGTTCCAAAAAAAAATAGAGATTATTGACAAACCAAAATTAGTTCTTTGAAAAGATTAATAAAATTGATAAACTAATCAAGACTTATAAGGAAAAGAGAGAAGGAACACAAATCAACAATGTTAGATGTGAAAAGTGGGGATATTACTACAGATCCTACAGACACTAATTGGATATAAGAAAATATTAAGAAAAACTTTATGCCAGTAAATTTAATAATTATATAAAATGGACAAATACCTTGAAAAACACAAAACACACTCAAGAAGGAATAGAAAATCTAACTAGCTCTGTAGTTATTAAATAAATTGAATTCGTAATTACAAACCTTCCCATAAAGAG